CGTGTTTTCCTCCTTCTGCAGGGAGAAACAGGAGGAGGAGGTGAAGGAAATCTTGAACAGGTGAAGGAAATCTTGAATAGGTGAAGGAAATCTTGAATCTTGAAGGAAATCTTCAATAGGTGTCACCTTTCTCTTCCCTCTTCATTGCAGCCATGGTGCAATGAATTATTTTGCTTCTAAAGTTTAACTTCCACTTCCCTACCAGGGAATTTTTAAAATTCAGTTGTCTGTACATGGCTGTGTCTAGCACCAGGTACCTGTGCTGAAACATTTTTATGTGATGGTCTTATTTTTGACCTGAGGACTGCAAGTTGTGATCCCATCCCAGTCCTAGTAAAAGTGCTAATAAAAAGAAAGGTTGCTAAACCTCTAAATAAACTTTTTTCTTTCTGTCATCGGTGAGTAACAAAGTAATTTCTAAGGAGAAGGTTCTTTTTCACTGCTAATATCCAATTATAAATTCAGCCTCCAGTGGGAATAGGTATTTGGAGATGTGGATAATAAACTGCTCAAGAGATCTCTCTGGATCTGCAGTGACATCTTACTGCTATTCCACTGTAATATTTTTATTTTAATATTTTGAAAATAACAATATATTAAAGTATGAGGAATCCTGAGGCTGTGATTTCCAGGGCATCCCACAGCGTGAGAAGCCAGCAGCACCAGCACACAGCAGTCACACAATTTGGGAGCTGGGGCCAGCACCCCCAGAGGAGACCTGGGGAGGTCTGAGGATGCTCTGACCCCACTCCCAGGTGCCTGAGAGTCCTCTCCTCTGCTGGGGGATCTGAATCTCCTCAGTGACCCCTCCTGAAACAGCCAAAAATGTGACAAGTGCTGTGACTGCATTTGCATTACCCACTGCTGGTGGCTGAGGCATGAACTGCTCAGCTTTTATTCATTTATTTATTTATTTTTAACGGAGGGTGGAGGCAAAGTTTTGCTGTATGCTGCCATCTGCTGTGAGCTTCATACGATTATGAGCATTTCAAATTCGTTTCTGACAGAAATAATGTAAAGGTGATCAAATAAATGACACATGGAGTTGTATGACAAGGATCTAAAACTCCCTTCCACTTGACCCCCTATGCAAAATGTCCTTCAAACAGCGGGAAACCTGTAGGAAGGAATGATGATTTACTGGTGATTTTAAGGGCAAATTATTTCCTCCAAGTGCTTCATGCTGTGGTGCTTTAAGTCATTCTTGTTCTTTTCTCTTTCCTTCTCATTTTCCCCCCTCCCTGCCTTCCCTTTCTCACCTGAAAGCTCCAGGGGGGTGAATTTAAGGCTGGCAGCCTCCGAGCAGAGCTCTGACCTGGGTGCCTGAGGCAAGGCCGGGCTCCTGTCTCAGCTGCCAGCCCTGTGCCTGCATCTACCTTGAGTAAATACACTCCAGCATTAGGAGGTGGGGAAATCAATAATATTTTTTCCTCTGGCTCATTGCATTTTACAATTGCATTGCTCAGACTATCAAAGCTCTCTTCAGGGAAATGAATTGGTGATGGAGTCAGTTTTCTTTTGATCAGGAAATATGGTCTGGTTGTATTTTGACAGACCATAAGATTGGTGCATTTTTTTACCTCTCCCTTGCCAAAAATGATGCAAACTATACAAAAACTTACTCATATACCTGATGTCCTCTACTGGGGCTGGAGCTCCACCAGCAAGAAAACGTGTGACAAAAGCAACAAAACAAACTTGGAAGCCTCTGCTGGTGTTAAACACATCAAAAGAGAGATTAGAGGCAATGATCAAGTGTGCTCTTTCAGTCCAGATAAGAAACATTTCCTTGCACCTTCCCTAAAGTCAAACACACCAGGTAAGCTCCTTTCTTACTGTGCTTTATGTAATCTGGGGCTCTTGGTGCCCACAACTCTGATACTGCTTCTCACAGGGCTTTTTGTTGGAGGAAATAAATTTGGCCTGCAGGTCTTGAACCAGTGCTGCACTCCCAGAGATGCTGGGGTGTGTGCACCTTTCAGGGATGCAACCAGGGTGGAAGCAGCAGGATGCACAGTGCAGCACTCAGAGTGAAAGCTTTCAACCTGCTTTGTTTGGGTATTGGAGGCACTCTAAGAAGTGAAGAGCCAGATCTGTTTTTTTTTTTAAGCTTAATGTGCAGTTCTTAAATTTGCATTTACAGACTTACTTGGATCTTGTCCTAAGAGCAGAGCTGGGCAGATCCCCACCTCTGTGCTGGGGTGTACCCAGTGCAGGATGTGTTAAAAGCATGTCAAAGCCAAGTTAAATGCATGTCACCTCTTAGAAGGCACTTTGCCTTTCTCAGACACCAATCTTAGGCTCTCATTTTTATGCTTATCTCTGAAATTTCTTTACAGAAATTTCCTGCTTTGTACATCACAAGTGGAAAAAAAAAAATTGGATTGGCCAAAGGAGAGTTCATCCGTGTGATATTTCTCAGAATGTCTGGGAAAAATGCATATTGAATAAAAGTCACATGTGGTTCATCCAAACTTACCAGCTCTGTCTCAGTTTCCTGGCTAAACTGTCACAGTGACAGGAACAGATGATGAATGGCAAAGGAATTTTTCTTCACGTGCTGGACATGTCTCACAAAGTCCAGCATGTGGAGAACATTGGATTCATTTCCTGACAGTCTGTGACATGTTGCTGCAAGGCTGTGCTTCTAAGGGATACTGTGGTTGTAATTTAACCCCGTATCACAGCAGTGATCTGAGTTCCCAAACCAGAAGCTGTTTCATCAGCCTCTTTAATAACGTGGCAAATAGACACTCCCCTAATAGAAAGGTGTTAAACACTCCCAAGGTGTTTACCATTAAACCCCTAATCAGGATTGCTTAAACCAGAGCTGCCGTCAGCCCCGCCTGCTTTGGCAGCCCTCTGTACTGCACGTGTGGTGTTGAAAATGATTTTTGTTGGATGAAGAGAAGAAATCTCAAGGAAAAGGAAAAGTTTGGTAACCTGCCTTAAAAGCTCTCTGAAAGGTTGCTCTTCTGTGCACCAGTTCATTCCAGCTGTAATACTGGTACCAGTTCATCAGCCCTGAATAAAACACAATGCCCATGTCCATCCAAAACACCTCCCACAGCAAATGTCCTAAACCCCCAGTTATAGTCACTTGGCTTAATATAAATACATACGTTAATATTGGGATTATATTTATTTTAAAGCCTCTGGTGTGAACGTGAATGGCATATGGATGGAGAGGAAAATCCAGCTGTAGGGAGAGACTCTTTTATGTGGCAAGGGGGTTGGAGCTGGATGATGTGAGGTCCCTTAGAAACCAAACCATTCCATAGTTCTGTGATTCTGCATCCTGCCTGTGCATTATTAAGACAGCACAGCAAGGAGTCTAACAGAAATCAGAGGGAAGAATGAAGGAAGATTTGCAGGCTCACTGGGCTGGGAACACCCATAAGTGATTGTCATTGATCTGGGGGTCAGTGTGGCTTTTGGTTGGGAAGATTTCAGTAGCTTTCCACATTTTACACTGGATTTCTCTTTAATACAAAAGCCGACTACAATGGATACTTATCATACAGTCTCTTTATAGAAACAGAAGAGTTCAAAAGGAATTTTCAGGGGTCCTTTCAGAAATATGAAATAACAACACTGTCAGTTCCAAAAGCAGCACTCTCGTCTCCAGACTGCTGACACTACTAAAATATCAGCCATGCTGGGCTGTGAAAATGTCATGATAACAAGCAATGAACATTAAAACTCTTCTGAAAATGTCTCAACTACACAAGGGTTCAACATACTTTGTTGTAGTTCTGTCATGCTTCTGTCAGTTGAAATTAATTCCAGTTTTGGTGTCAGCTTTGCAATAACAATTCCCTCTTCTTTTTAACAACATCCAGGCTTGGGAAGTGCTGTTTCCATTGCACTGCAGTTTCTTCAGTCAGGGGGAAAGGTTTTGGAGCAGTGTCCTGTGATATCAAGGTTTGTATCCACGGAACAAAGTGGAGCCTGACAGTCCATGTGGGTTTGCTGTTTTCTCTCAGATTTGACGCGATGCATTGCAGCAAAAATTAAATTCTGATTCTGCTGGCGCTTTCATGCAGCAGTGGTGATGAAAATACTGATTGAGAAGCACAGAGACTGCATCCAAAACCACATCTCAAGCAGATCACCACACCTGATCAGCTGATAAGATCAATTTTGGCTGATATTGGAATGCTCTGACAATATTATCCATTATTCAGCCCACACCATCCTTGGTGATCAATTCTGAAATTCACAACTTTCACCCTGGGATTTTTACAAAGGTCAAGTTCAAACAATCAGGCATTTTCCAGCCTAAAAAAAATAGCTGAGACTGTTGTATTAAAATGGAAATCAGGAAACCACAGCAGCATTTCAGATATTTTGTCCTTTGTCTGTCTGGCATCATTCCATTCCCACACTGATGTCACTAAGGGGCACAAAGGGTGGGGGATCTGTATTGTCCCATTAGCAGAGAAAAGGAGGGAAAGCAGGGCACAAAGAAGCTCCTCTTCCATTTAAGTTCAGTAATCTCAGAACTTTCCAGTCAAGTTACAACCTGTTGCTCATTTCAGAGCTATTTACTGCAGGAAAACACAGAATAATTTGATTTTTATGAAGTTTGTTCACAGCAAGATGATATTACATTTTAATTCAGAGATTATTTTTAGTAAGAGTTGAACATACTTGTCAAAAGTGCCAACCTTCTGCTTCCTGCCTGCTTTTGGATTCAAAGGAAGCTGCTGCTGCCTGTACAACAGAGCACAGAACTCTTGTGGACCTATACCAATACTTTCAGGAAAAAAGGTATTTTTGTAGTCTGGTTCTTGGAAGGTAAGGACTAAAATAACAGTGAGCCACCTGATCTATAGATATTCTAGTCTTTTTCTGCAAAACTTAATTGTGACAGCATCCAGGGTTATCAGTCTTAGCTTTTTTCCTCCATGTAAAATCTGTAGCTGCCAGTAAACAGACATGCTGATCATCCATCATCCATCTGCTTCTTGGACCCAAAACAGGCTGAATGTGCAGCAGTTTGCATCAAGTGCAGCTGCCAGCAACAAAAAGAAATGGTGAAAGGTGCTCTGTGAAGGCCCAGAGCTCAGAGCAGGTGACCAGAAGAGTGGGCTGGGTCCTTCTGCAGGGCTGGAGTGTGATGTGGGTTTTCAGGAGCCCAGAGCAGGGCCACTCCCCTCAGGTCTGCAGTTCTTCTCTCTGGGGGAAAGAAAAACATTTGTGCATCTGTTGCAAGTGCTGGTGTTGCCACACGTTAAACTCTGAAAGGGTTTTCCCACTGCACTCAGGTTCCCAAGGGGACTGAGGGGCTGCTGGAGCTGGTCCTGCCAGCAGGATCATAAAAACATGGAATGGCCTGGGTGGGAAGAGACCTTAAAGCTCATCTCCTTCCAACCCCCCTGCACTGGGCAGGGACACCTTCCACCCTCCCAGGTTGCCCCAAGCCCCATCCAGCCTGGCCTTGAGCACTGCCAGGGATCCAGGGGGAACCACAGCTGCTCCGGGCACCCTGTGCCAGCCCTGCCCACCCTCACAGGGAAGAATTTATTCCTAACATCTAATTTAAATCTACTCTCTGTCACTTTGAAGCCATTGCCCCTTGTCCTGTCACTCCAGGCCCTTGTCAATAGTCTCTCTCCACATTTCAGGCTCCCTCAGGCACTGGAAAGCTGCAATTAGGTCACCCCAAAGGCTCCCTCAGGCACTGGAAGGCTGCAATTAGGTCACCCCAAAGCTTCTCTGCTCCAGTTTGATCTGGGCTGTGCCCCAGTACATCTCTGCCAGGTACAAACCATTCCCTTGGGTTCTCTGCTCCAGTTTGATCTGGACTGTGCCCCAGTACATCTCTGCCAGGTACAAACCATTCCCTTGGCCACACTTCCAAAGGCACACTAATTCTGCTTTCTTTAGGTTTGCTTCAGAGTCCATTAAAAAGTGTTCAAGTCTCCATGCTGCACCTGAAAATCCTTTCTAAGGGGATAAACTTACATCTGAAGGATGTCCTTCTGAAAAATTCCAGTATTTTAGCACTTGGTTCAACAAAGATTTTGCTGTACTTTTTTTCTCCTTTGATTGCTTTATAATGGAGGTCTTTGATTTCATGTGATATGAGCTCTTAATCTGAAATGTTTGTATATGCAAATAAATCACAATGACATATCCAGGGGGAAGAAAATCAAGTAATACTACAGGTGTTGAAGACTCAGAAATATTCTCTTTTCCTGTTTTCTTTGAGATAGGCTTGTGATAGCACAAATCATCATGTGCAACACAAGTTGTGAAAGCAGTGTGTGTCATCCAGCATTCAGATGTGGGCCGAGTTGAAATTGCACACACCACCTCATTTTGGGCATTTTCCCGTCTGTGAAGGTTTGATATTGGCAGTTTGCTTTGAGGAGGAAGTCTCACATATTTCAGGAGTGAGATGGCCACAGGGCTGCTTTCAGCACGTGCCTGCATTGCTGGGCTGCTGCTGCTGGAATGGCACCATTGCTACCCATGCATTTTGTCATCCCCCAGGCTGGCTGTGGGAGCAGCAGCTCTGTCTGCCAGGGCAGGGCTGCAGGACAGGATGCAGGCTCTGTGGCTTTGCCACATTGACGGGAAAATCACAACTAAAAGCCTGTGCACAGCTCTCTCCCTGTCCAGAATCCTCCCAGGGCACTGCAGGAGGGCTCTCCTTCCCCTGCCTAGTGCCACTTGAGTGCACTTGGCACCACCTGAGCCTTTGTAGGGTATCTGAGCCATGGGGATGGGTGGTGGATGCAACCCAGGGTGAGCTGAGGACCCTTGTCTTCTGCAGGGACACCTGTGAGCCTGGCAGGACAGCCTGAGATCTCTGCAGTGGCTCTGGATGACCCTGCCTAGGCAATGGAGCCCTGCCTGGAGTCCCACCTGGAGCACAGTGCCTGTTTGTGCTCAGCTGCCTGAACCCAGCAGCTCTCAGGCAGCACTGGAGAGGTGCTGACAGCAGCAGAGCTGCTCTCCTCGCACTGGGCCACCTTTGGGTCATGTGAAGGTGGCTGCAGTGTCCCTCACTTCCCTGTCTCTGCTCTCCTTCAGCCAACACCGTATTCCCTCTGCAATTTCTTTGGCCAGGCTCCTCTGGAGCAGCCCCATGGCTTCAAACCAAGTCACAGAATCACAGAATGGTGAGGGTTGGAAGGCACCTCCAAGATCAGCTCATCCCAACCTCTCCTGCCACGGGCAGGGACATCTCCCTCTATCCCAGGCTGCTCCAGGCCTTATCCAGCCTGGCCTTGGACACTGCCAGGGATGGGGCATCCATCACCTCCCTGGGCAACCTGTGCCAGGGCCTCCCCACCTTCACAGTAAAGGATTTCTTCCTGCCTAACCTAAATTTTCCCCCTTTCAGTTTGTACCCATCACTCCTTGTCCTGTCACTGCAGTTCCTGACAAAGAGTCCTCCCCCAGCTTCCCTGCAGCCCCTTCAGGCTCTGGAAAGTCTCTGAGCTCTCCACACAACCTTCTCTCCTCCAGGCGGAACAGCCACAGCTTTCCCAGCCTGTCTTCTTTGTGGAGGTGCTCCAGTCCTCTCAGCAATGTTGTGTCCCTTGCTCCAACCTTCCCACGCCCTTCCTGTATTGGGGGCACCACAAGTGTACATGATATATTCCTCAAGGATCTCTTTCCTTGCCCCCATCTCGTGGCTCAGCCCTTCCACACCTCCCTGCTCCCTGTTCTGCTCCAGCCCCCCTCCCCTGTGATTCCCACCCCTATGGATGTGCTGTCCTCTCCTCTCTACCCCTGTGGGGTGCCCCCAGCCCCTCCCCAAACCCCTGCACCCTGCTCAGGGCCAGTCCCAATCCCCAAACACCCCCTCCAATCTCACATGTCCATACAACACAGCTCAGCTCTGACAAATATGGGCCAAACCCTGTGTGGCACAAAGTGACAGCCAGAGGTGACAGCCAGGGCAAGCCCAGACCTCCATCTGCTCGTGGATCCAGTCCAGGAAGGAGGTGGTTCTGCTGTAGACGCCTGGCTTGTTCTTCTCTGCACAGCCCACTCCAAAGCTGGTGGTCCCCACCAGCTTCCAGACACTCATATCTTCACAGGCTAAAGGGCCCCCACTGTCCCCCTGAGGGAAAAAGAATTAAAATGTCAGTGTCCCAGAAAAGGAGGGAATTGTCTGTTGGGAAGGTAGGGGGAGAGACCTAGTCCAGTAATTCAAAATCTCTTGTTTCTGCTCTGTTCTGGGTCCTGGGAAAAGCACCTTACAGCAAGGCTTGGAGACTCTGAGACATGGAGGGGACCATATTTTTCTTTCCCTGGCTCCTGGCTATTGAGCTGAGTCCAAGGTTGCAGCACCAAGCTCACATCTGGCCTCCTCCCTGCCTGCTCCTGCCTGCTTTTCCAGCCCTTCCCAGACACTTTGCTATGCAGATTCAGCTCAATGGACTAACATTCAAGCACTGAAAACTTCCCATTTCTTTTTTGCCGGGGCAGTTTCCTGCCCTACGAGAATCAGAGCCAGCACAACAACTGGAAAAAAGGGAATTTGGAACAAGCCTGTCCCACTGGGGAGCAGGGCTCCTCCTGTCACATGGAGCTGTGTGCTGAGCACGCAGCTCTCCTGGGCACAGCTGGTTCCAAGTGTCTTTTTAGGGGGGTTATGTGTAAAAAGGGGATGAAATTCAGATCTAGGCACCCACTGCCTTTGCTTTTCTTTTTGTTCCAAGTGTGATTGGGATGGAGCAAATCTGGAAACATGAAGTTTGCAGAATCATAGAGAGGTTTGGGTTGGAAGGGACATTGAAATACGTGTAGATCCAAGCCTCCTGCTTGGAACAGGGACATCCACTAGGAATTCCTCCCAGCCCTATCTGGCTCCTTTTCACCGTGGTCTTTCTGCACCTTGCAGGTCCCTGGAGCTGCCCACAGTGCAGGGAAGTGCAATTCAGTGCAGTGCAGAGGTCACAGCCAAGGCAGAGAAAGGATGGCACCGTGCTGCAGCACGTGCAGAAAAATATGTCTCAAGCAAATCTGGCTTCAGAAGTATCAGATAAGGCCCAGAGAAGAAGTATAAAAAGGAAATTGTAGCGTGTGAGTGCACACGGTCAGTGATTGATAATTGTGGTAAGCAGAATAAATGGCACAAACCCAAATGTTTGCCCAAGAACAGCCTGGGAGTGCCTTCTGATAACTTATCACTCATGTTTTTCCATTTCCAATGAGCACAGTTGCAGTTTGGAAACTTCCATACCTGGCAGGTGTCCACCCCTCCCTTTAGGAAACCAGCACAAAGCATTGAAGAAGTTATGATCCCACCGTAGACATCCCTGTGATTGCAAATTGCATTGGAAATCAGAGGAACGCCTGCATAATTCATGGTGTCAGATGTGTCACCTGTTAAAAAAACAGAAAAAAACCCAGGGAAAACCTTCCTGTCCTTGAAATTAATCTCCATTTATAAACAGAGAAATGTTTTATATACAAAGAATTGGCAAGGAAGGATGAAAGAAACATGGTTAAATGGCAAGACAAAAGTAAGGTAACTTGGTGTCTCCTCACTTACAGAACACAGCAATTATCCATTCTGCAGAGGTGTGGATTATCACAGTGTATAAAATAACAATAAAATCTGCACATTGTGTGTTTCCACTTCAAACTAGACCATTAATGACATTAATAAACTAAAAAGCTTGTTGAACATTGTGTTCAATACTAGTGCCAAAACCTGTTCTGAATTTATCGCTTGTTCTGTTAGTCAACAAATCATCTGCAAACATCTGATTTACTTTATAAATATTTATTTTATTTCATTCAGAGCCTGAACAGATCCTTTCTACAAATGAGAGTATTTGCACACTGCCTATTGTCAATTTAGGGCTGGTTTTTTTTATGTGGCAAACCTTGCTTTCATTTTCTCCCCACCTTTGGCTGTTATCTGTGGGTCAGGTAATGTTCTGTTCTTGTTCTCTGAACAACAGGAACACGTTCAGTGACATGAATGAAGAGTGATAAAAAACAATTAATGGGTGACAATTCACCCATTTTCGGGTGAAGGTAGTTCAGTTTATGTTATTGATTAACATGACCCATGAGTCATGGGAAAAAAAAATCCCTTTGCTTTTTGATTTTGTTTTATCCAATTTTACATCACCCAACCTTGCTGAAAATAACAGACATGCTTTTTCTAAAACAAGGGGATGGTTAATTCTTGAATTCATGCTGTGCTTCCTATGCTTGGAGTTTTAAAGCCTGTTTGACTGAGGCTGGGTACAACACTGGGGACATTTTATATGTGTCATTTTCAACTGTTTCAGAGGATACCCATCCATTCCTTGTGATAAGAGTTTGCACAGTGCTTTTGCAGTACAGTTTGTGCATAAATTTTAGTATTATGTCTTCCTTCCCCCTCCAGATATTCCAGAAAATTTAGTGTTAAACAGTGCCCCAACCAAATCCTGTATTTACTGTATGTAAGATGTGTGCATGTAGTGAAATCATCAGCAGGCAATTTAAAATACCTCCTTCCACAGTTGCTCCCCATCCTGATACCCAACACATTTTCCCTGCTGGGAAATGTTCACCAAAATTGGGCAGACAGATCGGTTCAATGTGACCTATTTATGGAAAAAAAAAATAAAAAGGAGAGAGAAGAGAATCAAAATTTAGCAAAAAAAGTTTATATTTCTCAGAGAAACTTGAGGATTTGGCTTGCAATGAACTTGTGATGAACACCACCCACTCCCTACATAAATAGCCTGGCAGTTTTCTGCAGGATTTTTGTCTTGTGGGCAACACTGAGGGTTTGAGACATCACCCACGGTAGCCCCAGAGAGTTTTGGGTATGAAGCAACACAAGGAGGTATCAGCAGCTCAATAAATTGAAGAATAAGCAAACAAGAAATGAAGATGAAGGGCAGATCACAGGCCCTGGGTCTGCTGGGGTGAGACAAGGAGCACTTTTCAAGGGTGAGAAGGGTGTGCACATCCCTGAGAGGGCAAAAAAATTCTTGGATCCTTTGCTTCCCACCCATCAGCTCACAGAGTTTTGGTGCCTCTGCGCTCCAGGACATGGAATTTCATGGGATAAAATCAGAGCTTGATGGTTGCAGGGACAAATGGGTGCTGAGGAAAGGGAGGGAAAATACAAAATATAACTGGGCAGCTCCCAGGGGTTCTGTTCTGCACAGTGCAGTGATCCCAGCTCAAGGCATCAAGCCCCCAGTGTGAGACACAGTGGGATCAAGCTCAGGTGTACAGCCACTACTATTCTTACTATCCCTTCCTACTATTCCTTACTATTCCTTCCTACTATTCCTTATTTCTAAAATATCCCTTAATATTCCTCATTCCCAAAGCTGTTCATGAGCAGAAGAAATCAGCAGAAAACTGAGAGACGAAACAGAACAAAATCCAGCTTAATTTTCATTAAAAGTGAAATTTTAAACCATTACAAGAGAATTGATTTAGAAAACGACTGCCTAGATGTGTCAAAGAGGAACAGCTCCCCTTTGCAGCCAGCTCACAGTGATTAGGAGGCATTGGCAGGTATTTCAATTCATACAACATTATTACATATTATTTCAACTCACTGTATCAACTGCAGGTAGCATCCTGTCAAGAAAATAAAAGTAGTTTTCATTTAAATAATCATTATATTCAAATTGCCTTCTCTTCTCTTTGAAATTCAGGCTTGATTTTCAGCTTTGGACACTTGTGGATCCCCCAGTACTCATGGAAAGGACATGATAAAAATCTCTGTGACCTCCAAGCAGAATGAGGCAGGGTGTTTATTTTAGATAGGAAGAATATTTAGAAAGAATAAAGTTAATGTTTGCCTATTAATAAATGCCTGCAGTAAATCAATACCAGAGTGGAGTGGGAACATTTTGCAGCACGTTGTTGCTGTCCATGCCTGGATATGGAGTACAGAGGAGGAGCTCACACTGAGGCTGGGGGGTTTCTGCTGGTGTTGTGTGGACAGGGGTGTTTTAGCTGGGGAGGTGAGAATGTCAAATGCAAGCTCACAGAGACAAATTACCATTGAGAGCGAGAGGTGCTGCCAGTTTCATCAGTGCTATGTCATTCCCCATCGTCTTGGGTTTATAATTCCGATGGTAAATGATTTTTTCCACTGAATGGGGGTGAACCTGGGTGTCCTGCTGAGTCACAAAACCAACCTGAACACTCCATGAGCTCGGCAAGTACAGACTGGAACAAAGAGGTAGAAGAGAGGGTCAGACCTCCAGGAAAACCCTCAAGTTTTTCTAATTGTCCCGTGAGCTTATACATACAACAGGCAAATAACTCCAGTCTGCTGTGCTGGCTTATCTCTTTATTAATAATGGCCATGTTTTGCATCTAATTTTTAAAAATGTAAAACTATTTTTAGTAAGACACTGGGTGACAGATCTGAGTAAGACACTGGGTCACTGGTACATTATCAGGGCAATTATATGTATCTTACAACAAATATCTGAGAGTTTTTCACCAGCCCAGCTCTCTGTGCTCCTGTGAGACCCCACAGCTGCTGCCTGGCAAGCCTGCACTCAGCCAGACCTCAGCAGCACTTGTGGCAAGGCATTTTCAAGGAGAAACTTCTCTTCTGGAAGGTGTTTCTGCCCCAGTTCATGAGCTGGCACATCCTTCAGCCTCCAGCACATGAGCAGCTCCTCTGCTTTTGGCCTCACTTCCCTGGGAAAAGGCTCCAGGGATGGGGGGTTGTGTTGCCAGCTCCCATCCCCATCACCCTTCAAACACACCACAACCACCTGGGTTGGGGTGAAAAAGTCAAAGATTCTAAAATGCTGAATTCATAAGTAATTATTCTTATGGCATCACAGGGCTCTAAATAGGAATTTGGAGTGGGGTTTGTCAACCCCAACTCTTCTCTCTATTGGGCATGAAAGCATCCCACAAGAACTTACTCAGAAGAAGGCACCCATGCTGCAGGTACTTAAAAGTGGGCAGACAAATCCCATTTTAGCTGTCTAAATGTCTTTGATGAAAGTGGCCAGGAGTTTGTAAAAGTAAGAGGTGCTCCTGCACTGTTAGCATCAAACAAGACTGCAAAACCAGACAACTCATTATAAACATGTTTGTAATGACACAGAGTTTAAATAACTATTTAGCATCTATTGACCACCTGAAGACCTCTTCAACTGCATAGAAAGGAGCAGTGAGTAAGTGGCAAAGGGCACAAAGCACAGTACAAGTGACTAATAATCACTGATTGGTCCTGTCAACTTGAAAAGAATCCTGTAATTTATTTTGGAGCTCCAGTGGATCAGAGAAGCCAAGTTAAAATTCTGTACATGCAATTTACAGAAACTGTAGGTTGGGATACCTAAAATCTAGCACTTAAATCTTCTTTTAAGATGTTTTCCCAGGATGCTGGGAGTGGCTAGATCATGTGGAAACTGGGATTCTGGATTTAGATCACTTCTTGGGGAAGCTTTTTTTCAATAAAGACTCATGCAAAAAGAGAAGAACACCTTAAATGTTATGATGCCTTTTGGGACTACCTTAAAACAAATGTCAGTCAAAATTAGGGAATAAAAAGTAGTTCTATTTATTGAAGGGCCTTCAGGTACATTTAGGAGAGACAAAGCCCCCTCCCAGGGCTACACCCAAAATGGACAATGGGTCACGGGTTTTCACATTTTTGTAAATTTGGTCCATTTGCATATTGGGGGTGTGATAGATGAGTAATGCAATGATTGACTCTCACAATTAAAAGGCAAATATCATGTATATATGTTCAGAGAAGTTTTACAGATTTATAGTTATGTTTTACCCCCCTTGTGTTGTTATTATGGAATGGCCTGGGTTTGGGACATTTGGGAGGGTCAGCTTGTTACTATGGCAGCATCTGATCCAATCAAGATTTAAGGAAGCAAACTCTACCACTGGATAGTGAAGGAGTCAATGGACAGAATTTTGGGAGGGGCTAAAGGGTTAAAAGGTGAAACCTCCATTGTGTGGCTGAGCACATGGTGGGAAAGATCCTCTGCTCCCTGCCCCATAATATTTTCTCTATTCAGTCTTCTGTTTTATTTTTGATAAGGTTTTAATAAACATTTAAAAATTTTGGAAGTGAGTATCATTTCTCACAGGGGTTAATATTCCAATTACAGCTTCAGTTAATAAAGTCATTGATCCCAAGTTTGCTCCCCCCAACTCACTACTGTCTATATTTCTTGGAGTTCAAGACAGTGAGGTATCCTTGATTCCCAGGCCTGGAGAAGAATTGTGTCATCTGACCAAAATGGGAAAGCAGCTAACACTCTGTATGGAGCTTAGAGCTATACACTGAAGAATCACAGCGTTACAAATACATGAAAAACATCAAACCCAAAACCCTGAGGATGAGGCAGCGCATCCTGCAGGTTATTTTTCAGAGCAAGCAGAGTGTCCCCGGAGCAGGGGGGTTTGGGCACTCACTCGTAGACGCAGTGGGCAGCTGTGAGGATCCAGAGCGGGGTGATGACCGAGCCCCCGCACAGGTGGTGGCCCTGGAACTGCAGGCTGACCTGCCACGGCCACTGCTGGGGTGACGACGCGTTGCCCCCCACGATCCGCGGCCCGTAGCTGGCCCGAGTCCCACACGCTGCCAGGAAGCAAAGGTTACAGTCCAGAGAGGAAACACAGCCCTGGTTTGGGTCACATTCAGCCCCTCTCCTCCCAGCCTTGCTGAGGGTGGGAGGTCCCTGCAGCTGGAGCAGCCTCACCCCATCCCCACGGCCACATCCCAGAGGTTTCTCCTCCTCCCTCCCATCCCTGCAGGTCACTCGTGGCCTGGGGTTTGTGGGGTATTTGTCTCTCCCTTCCCTGCAGGTGCAGTGCTCAGCTGAGCTGTAAAACTCCCTGCTCTGCTCTCCTTCATCCTCAGGGTTCCACACAGGCTCAAGCACCTCCTCTTCCCTCATGGTGATTTTGCTGTCGTATTTTGAATTTTTGTATCCCAGTCTGAAAATTAGGTAGCATGGACCCCTGCTCTGCTCTCCTTCAGCCTCAGGGTCCCACACCTTAAAACAGATGTCAGACAAAATTAGGGAATAAAAAATCCCCTCATGGTGATTTTGCTGTCGTATTTTGAATTTTTGTATCCCAGTCTGAAAATTAGGTAGCATGGAGAGGTGCAGGATGAGAATTCAATTAAGACAGAATTTCTCTTTTCCTGCCAAGATGCCAAAGACTTGGAATTACAGTCTGAGTCCCTGGACTCAACACACAGTCCTTAAATACACACTTCCTACTGGGATTCTCACTGAAATGATCCTGCTATCTGTTGCTCCCAGTCTGCCCTCCCAGCCTATTTTCACTTTCTGAAATTCTTTCAGATTTTACATAAAAAATACAATTTTTCTTTGGTGTGATAAACTGATAGTATACTATGCCCTGAGTACACAGCTGCTCCCAACTCTTGCCATGCAGTGGATAAAGAAGGAGAGTCTCTGCTTTTATTTTCACTTTTTCTGATTCTTACCCAAACACTTTAAGATGATCACATTGCCAGAAGTGCATTCCTCCCTGAGATGAGAAGACAATGCAGCATTAGTCCTAATTCATAAATACCTTGTGTTTTTTCAATATTATATCCTTTTCCTGTGCACATAAAAATAAGTATCTCATCTATTGAAAGAGGTGCAAAGGCATGAACTCATCCAGTCTAATCAGGGCCTTTAACTGGAATACTGAAGTCAGGAGCTTGGCCACCATCAGGAGGCTGCAGACCACATGCTGCCCTGCTGAAGAGGGCTTCACTCTTCCACCAGGGAAGATCTGAATTCTCCTTGGATCCATTGTTCCCTTCTCACTGGAATGTAACTAAAAAACCCCAGCATTTGTCAGGAGGAGTAAATGGACCATAAAGGGTTCATAAACCCACTGGGAAACGTGTGAGGATCTGCAAACTGAAACAAACTGCTTCATAATGGAAAAAGAGAAGTGCCTGGTGCCTATCCATTTGCAAAAAAGGCATCATGGGACAAACAGTTGTTTCAAACAGCTCATTTGAAAGCCTTTGTTGATTTCAGTGGGTCCTGGATCAGACTCTTAATTTATATTCCAGCAAGATTGCTGCTGAACCTCAGTCTAGCACGTGTACCACCACCAAACACTTACAATGTGCCTGAAAAACAGCAACAACCCCAAACTGTCAATAATTCCCCTTCTATTGATTGCTCTCTTCCTGAAGCAGCTGAGGCATACCTGAGGTTGGTGGCATTGTGCAGGGATGTCACTTGATCAGCTGAGAACCAGTGGCTGAGGGATACGAAATGTCTTTGGAACTGTTTTTCAACTGCAGCCACGGGCAGGTAACCTGAACTCACATAACTGCAAATAAACCATAAACACAGCTTCTTCCCCAGACAGCATTGCAGCAATCTGCTTAAATAATTCACCAGTTCTGCTAATGAAAACCACAATAATCAGATTCTGGCATTCGATAAAAGTAATTATTTCCTCCCCCTATGCTCCTTCCACGTGCATGTATTTTTGACATAATCATCGTGCTGAGATGTATTTAACTGGCAGAGAAAGTAAATTTTAATTATAATACTCCAATGAACTTTTCATTGTAAGTGGTTGGCACACTACCTGAGCCACCTGCAAGCTCATTGTCTCATTTTTCTAAAGTTATGTTTTGCAGCAGGGAGGATGAATAATTTTGAATTTTTTCTTCTCTTCTTTGTTGAAAAATTGAGATGTATTTTATCCTAAAGGCAACAATAATTTATTCAAAGAAGGTTTATACTTCTAACTATAACAGATATCAGAATGATGCCATGGTAAGAAATAACAGAGCATCATGCCAAATCACGACTTCAAATTTTTCTCAGTTTTATGAAAGTTTGTGAAAGAAATGGTGCTTTTTCAGGAATGGGATCAAGCCAGCAAGAACTGCCTTGCCATGCTCTTATCTAATTATGAGGTGGACCTTAAATCCTATCAGATGTCATGACATAAATTTTATATTTATTTATTATAGGTATACAATTGTATAAGTATACAATTTACCTATAGGGGAAGTAAAATAAGTGGAAAATGCTCATATGTTATATATTTATATACCTATATAATTATAAGGTATACCTATACTTATTATAAGTATACAATTACCTATATTTATTATAAGTATACAATTTACCTATAGGGGAAGTAAAATAAGTGGAAAATGCTCATATGTTTTTAGTGCTTCTCTGACAGGCTACTAGAGTGACAAATAAGATTTGGGCACCTGCATCACACAGGGAAGATTCAGCCAAGCCATTCTATTTAACCATCATGCAGGATTTATAGCAGTAATAAAAAGTATTTGCCCTGTACAAGTACATCACCTCAAATCCTCTCAATCATGTGACTCACAAAGGTGGATTGTTGAGTCATTTTTAAGGCACAAACTAACACAAGGTTTCATTAGAAAGACCCCAGAGCTTGTTCAAAATGCCCAGTGAAGCTGCTGGCACTTGGTGCCCATACCTGGAGAAGCCCAGGTGCCTGCAGGTGGTGTTGCCATACTCTGCCCTCCAGTCGTCGGAGCAGACCGTGCGCCAGGAGCCGAAGGTGAACACCTGCAGCACTGCCCTCTTCCCACTCAGCCTGACTTTGGGATGCAGGACAAGAAAAGCCTCAGTCAGCTGTGAAGATGGACATCAGGCACACAACAGGCACAGGACAGTGCCAAGTCACCACTGTGGTGTCTGTTTTCTGGCTCACTGAGCCTCTATTTATATTTTTCATCATTTGGATTCTTTGAAAGAATTTTTCTGTGTTTGTTTTTTTTTTTTTCCTTCCATTAAAGAAGGGAAATAAGGTACTCTGAGCAAGGACAGCTAGGAGAAAAAAAATCTTTGCTCGTGGGAATGCCAACTCTAATACAGGTGGTGGAGGCTGCCCAGCCCTCCAGTGAGTTTGAGCAAGTCTTGCTGATTGCAGTGAGCTGGAGGTGCAGATGCTTTGCCCTGAGGATACCTGTGGTCAGGGTAAGGGATGAAGGTGGGCACCTCCTGTATCAGAGAGGTGACACTCGTGCCCAGCTGTCCTGAGAAAGGGCACATCTGTGAGGGAGAAGGGAGACCATGCACTTGGTCACTGCTGAACAGGGCTCTCCCACACGTGCCTAGATTCCAGTGTTTTGGAATTGCAAAGGAAGACAGGAAAAGCAGAGGTGTTGCCACTGGCTTCACAGACACCCCGAGCCTCCCTGGGGAAAACTCTCCAAATGCTGAACACATTGTGTGGGGTTAGCTGGGGCCAAAAGCTCATGGTTCTTGTCATTCCTGCTACTGCACAGATGGAAAGCTGTGCTGCCTCCTTATCTGTAGGTACAGGAGCCAGGATTACAAGTGCACTGAGCTAAAACCCAGTAATTATGTTTATTAATACTAGAGTCTTTTTCCTCCAGGGGCTGTGAACACCACAGTCACCTTCCATAGAACAGGACAGGGAAGTACCATTCAAAACATCCCTGTGATTCCCAAAAATACCACAGAGCAAAACTCAGAAATAAGTTATACATCTCACACGTGAAGCAGCAAATTCTTCAGCACTGAATGCACCAAAGTCTGATTTCTCCCATTCCCACATCCTTTAAGATAATACCAGGATTTTGCAGTCTTCAAAACTGACACAGCACAACAGCACGCCAGTGAATTCAGAGTATTTTGTATTTACACACCATAAAGCAGTGGGGTTGCACCTTGCAGGCAGAGGAAGTGTGAGCAGTCAAAAAGCATCTGGGCTTCTAATGGAGATAATTATCAAAAATGGCAGTAACAATATTCAGCAATCATCACATTTATCCAAAAAGCAGCTTGATTTTTCATGAACTGTAAATCAGTACCTCAGAGAGACTGTTTCTCTGAAGTGGATTTAGTGTTCACAGTGATGATTTAGATATTCCATTGGTCTCTGTCTTTCTTGTCCCGCCCAAAATCTTTACAACAAGCATTCCTTGATAACTTGCTAGTTCTACAGGAGGAGGTAAGAGGCATTTATAATCAAAATTGAATTACCACATCTGTACTCATCCTCCCCTTCTTTGCAGTTGAAGACACCATTGCACCTGGCTGATTTCTGGATACACTTAAAGGATGATCGACAGCGAAACTTCCCAATGCAGTTGTACTGGACTAAAAGGAATGAAAGAACACAGGCCAATGAAAACACACTTGGATTTTAATTTAACACTTCTGCATTCCATTATCTGTCCAGATTTCAGTCTTGCTAAGGAAAAGCCAGCTCCTGTACTCCAGGAAGTTTTGAAATACAACCTGGAGGTTGCTACATGGTGCTGCTAAAACTCATTTATTAGTAATGATTGGTAGGAGGAGTCAGCCTTGCTGTGTGTGCTGACTCCTTCCCAGCTCCCTCTGCACAGTTTAAGTTTCACTCGAGGGTGAGTTCCTGCCTGGTGCCTCAGACCCTGAGCAGGAAATCAGGGAGACCCTTGGAAAACACATCCAGTGCTCGCTCTCCCCGGGGGGATGCCTCAACCTTTCACAAGCTGCTCCCTATTCCAGGTGTGGAGACACAACAACCCCTGGACCTGGGCAGGTCACACTTCCCAGCCACAACTAAACTCATTCTGCATTTTCTTTTCCTTTGTAGAAGTTGTTTTTGATAGGGGAAAGTTCTTTCATTCTTTGAAAGCAAACTTAGAGAAGTGAATTACAAGACAAAAATATGGTGTGGGCTACCTACAGGAGCCTTTTTACCCCCAGTTTCTAAACTCAGCTCATTGCCTGAGGGGAGCTGACAGAATTTTACTGGAGAAAGGTTTCCTGAAGCTGCAGGCTCCCCAGTGTTGTAAATATGACACCAATCTTCCCAGGAGTGTCAGACCTATTTTATGCCTACATGTAAATAAAATTTAAGCCATCACCTCAACAAGATTTTTTACTTCCATGAACAAGCCACAGTAGCAGTTTAATTCCATTCTCAGTAAAGGGCTCATGAAAAATTAAGCATTTGAATGGCTAAGTGAGAACTTAATAAATAACTAATGGTACTCACCACCCAGGCCAATGGCAACTGCTAGGATTACTGCAAGGAATAAACCACAGATATATGGGAAGTATTTTAGGGAGACAAGAGCATGGCACATTGAAGGTGGTTCAATATCTCCTGGAAAACAGACAGAGAGAAAGCTTCTGTGAGGTTAAACCAGCTGAGCTGGCAATCAAAAAGATTTATCTAACATTAAACGAGATGTCATCAATAACTCCTGGATATGCTTCCTGGGCTGATCTCACCTGAAGGGATTTAGATTTGCTCTTTCAGGGAATGAGAAGGTTCCAAGTGCTTTGGGGCTGCTGCTGCTCTCAGACATCCCTTGAGCATTTGCCTTGGGAGGGTCTGAGTTGTGTCCCTGCAGAGCACCTGGCCTGTCCTCAATGCAATCAGCCATGTGAGCTCCAAATTTTCATTTTCATGTGCAATATCACACTGGGAACTTTTCAAGCATATGAGCACCTCTGCTGAAAACTTGAGTTCTGGGATAAAAATGAAATTCAGACCTCTTCTGTTTGTGTAATCAAACCACTGTGCAGCTCATAAATAGAAGTTCAAGACAAGAAAGAGGAAATTCAGTAGTCCCTTTGGTCTTGGAAGCAAGGTTAAATGAAAATTATTGAAAGCTAAATATACCAAAAAAAAGGCAAAAAAAAAAAAAAAAAAAGGCAAAAAAAGTGCAGGATCCTCTACCTAGTCTCAAAAACTGTGAAAAAGTGATTTGTTCAGTTTTGCTATAAATGCAAGAAGATAACTGAGTGATGGCTTAAAGCTGAGTCTTGAGTTTTCAAGTACAAAAAGCTGCATCTAAAGTTAAAATACACATCAGTAGTTATTGCAGAATACATTTCATGAGCTGGATCTGTTTACCAACCGCTGACCTCCAGAGCTGACCTCTGCTTAGTGATATTGCCAGTCTGGAAGATAACAAGAGATTCTGCTGAAAATAATGAGTGATTCACTTGTCTCAAATGTATTCTGATATACAAGGGCAAACTGTGGGGAAATAGCAAACACAGCTGGGTCAAGAGTGCACACAGGCACTGACAGAACTTGTCTTTAATTTTAGTTCTTACAGCTCTTCACTTCCCCATTCCTCAGGCTTTATAATTGAGATTGGCAGATACAATCAGTCAAGGATAAGGAGTGTCTCCAAGGGTTTATAGACTCTCTAGGTAAATCCCAGCTTCCTCAGACTCTCAGGAGCAGCTGAGTTACTGGTTTTGGCAATGGAGTTGGTGTCTGCTATGCCAGAAATCTTAGCTGTAGCAGCTAATGGACTAGAAAATGAAATTGCTCTATTTTCATTCTGGAAGCTCAGCCTGTCTCTGTTGGAACCCATGGTTATTTTGAAACCAATGGGAAGCAGCAAACAGACATGCTAATCCTCCAAGGCTGCTGCATTGTATATTCAGGTTTTTTGGTGGACCAATTTCCAGGTTGGCAAAATTTCAAACAAACCATTCAAAAATGTGTCTGGAAAGCGTGGGGAAACGTTTGCTTCTGTGTGAATAATCTGGCTGTGAAAAATGCTTGTGTGTTCAAGTCGACACAAGATGTCATCACATCACTGAGCTGGCAAACCTCACACCTGGGGGAGGGAGGTCGTGTTTCCTCCTCCTCCGTGTGATTGCTTGCTCTGGGTGGGCAAGCACAGCTTGGCACACAGTGGCCACTGGTGTTGCAAAGGCCAGAGGGCTGTGGATTGTCCCTACCAGATCCATCTGCACTTGGGTCCACTCTTGCTTGTGGTATGAAGAAAAATCTTTTGAAGGTAAACTGAATTTGTGGTACTGGCGGTTCATCTTCTGTAACGGAGATGATTTCAAGACTTCCAGTAGTGGGATTTGTCTCTTGAACCTGGCTCAGCAGGAGAGGGGAAAAAAAAAAAGAAAAGGGAAAAAAAAAAGAAAAAGAAAAAAAGAAAGAAAATTATCATTATAATGTTGTTATAGAGGCACAGAATGGTTTGGCTTGGAAGGGACCTAAAAGATCTTCCTGTTCCATCCCCTGCCATGGGCAGGGACACCTTCCACTCTCCCAGGCTGCTCCATGCCCCATCCAGCCTGGCCTTGGATATTCCCAGGGATCCAGGGGCAGCCACAGCTTCTCTGGGCACCCTGTGCCAGGGCTTCACCATACTCACAGTGAAGAATTTCTTCCTAACATCTCATCTAAACCTTCTTGTAGCCCCCTTTGTGTACTGGAAGGCCTCAACAAGATCTGTCTGGAGCCTTCTCTTTTCCAGGATGAACAACACCAACTCTCTCAGCCTTTCCTGACAGCAGAGGTGCTCCAGACCTCTGAGCATCTTTCTGGCCTCCTCTGGCCTCACTCCAGCAAGGTCTGTGTCCTTCCTGTGCTGGGGACCTCAAAGCTGGACACAATACATCGTTATGTACTTAATTTTCATGAGAGAAGCACTTATAATTAATTTACCATATTTTTACCATAATTTATCATGTTTTTGTTCAGATTTGTCTAAGCACCGGAGCTACATTTAATAACTCACACTGGGGCTGTGAATCCATCTCCTGCTCTATAATTGCAATACAACACAAAAGAAAGACTAAAATGCATAGGACAGCAGCACAGAACCTGACAGGATCCTCATGCAAGGGAATTTTACTCCAGTAAACTTTTGATGACTTACTACATAGGGAAAAAATTAAAGTTAGCTACACTAGAATTTGGGGCAAATAGATTTGAAATGCTAATTTCTGACTGTGGTTCTGCACAATGGCAAAAATAATCAGATTTTTGATCTCAGAGTGATGTGAAATAGGTCCAGGTTTGTTAAAGACAGTGGACCTGGTTAGCTGTAAAAGGAGCATGTTTGCAGGGTCAGTCCCATAAAATGCTTACAATGATACATTTTAGGCAAAGAATACATGTTTTATCTATAATGGAAAATACCCTGGAGTATTTTTTCACCTTTCAGCAAGGTGAATGCTCTTTCATTTGGTAAAATTTCACCTACATTTCATTGAACATATATTAAACTTTGTAGAGAATCTGCCAGCATGATTGTTAAATATTAAAAGCAAAAAAGCCTTCTAGCTGGTGCATAGTTTTCCTATCAGGAAACAAAACAGCATTGTGAACTAAATTACATGCAAGCCAAACACTGACATTTCGCTTATTCAGAGGCTGTCACATACTCTCAAAGCTTCACTCACCTCTTCCTGAGAAGTCATAGTTAAAAGCAAAACTGTTTTCCCTCTTCATTATCAACAGCAGCCCAAAGGAAACTCAGAGTTTGCTGAGCCTCTCTGCTCGGGGAGGGTTTCCAGCCGGCCGCTGCGTGCGGCATCAAGGCCACAGCCCGTGTAACCCAACCTGGAGAGGGGTATCGGGTGGCCCTGGATGGCATGGCTACGGAAAGGGGCAGATAAAAATTCAGCACGCTGTCTAATTAGCTGAAAACCACCAGGCAACACTGTGGGATCTGCAAACCTCCCCGTAAGCTCTTAGCAAAGGAGCCCCACGAACACCACGTGAGCGCTCGCTCATCCTCTGCCAAAAGCCCTGAACACCAAGACCTGTGGGTGGCAGGGAGCAGCAGCCCCTGGGCTTCATCTCTTCATCTCTGATCTCACAGACTCATCTTTTGCTGGGTTTAGCCTTTGCCATGTGCCTGCACAGGGTTTGGGAAAAAGCAGCGTCTCATGTTACTGAAGGATCAGCTCAGCTGTACTCTGGGATTTAGCGAATGGAAATGTACGTGCAGCTGCAAGGAATGCTCGAGAGTAGTAATAGCTTGGCTGGGTTGTGTTCACTTAGAAGAGAGATTCCTGACAGAGGGAAGGATGGAGGGAAGAAGGAGAAGGAAGGATGATGCAAAAAGCCACAGGACTGTAAATAAAACAAGAGAGGCCAGTGAGGAAATGAAAGTTTTCCGTGATAAAACCCATGTCCCTGGAATATGGCTGAGATGAGAGAAACTCTTCAGTCCCATTTTTGTGAATGATGGAGAATGGCACTTCCAAAGGAGAGGACACCACCTCATGATCTTGTTAATTTAAGCCATGACGTCACGAATCCTTCATCATCTCCTGTGTCACTCTTTCAGCAGCCTTCCCTGGAAATGGGGACACTCCCCACCAGGCTTCAGACAGTTCTGATGGTTCTCCAAATGGCTGGAGAACCAGCTCAAGCTGGCCAGGTGTCCCAAGGGGAACTTCAGCCAAAGTGGGGAAAACATGAGGACTCATTTCAGGTGACCAGCAGCTCAGGTGATCTTTTCAGTCCACAGGGTGAGGTGTCCTGTCCTCCAGAGGGGACACTGATACCTGCAGTGAGGACAGAAAAAACTGTCTCCAATAAATTCACCCACTCTGGCCATGCTGGAAAGGCTGGGGACCAGCCAGGGCAGCTCTGAAAAGGCTCCCACAGTGGCACTGGCACCACTGGAAAGGACAATTTCTTCTCCCTGCTTCCACCCTGAGCTGCTCCAAGCTCAGCCTCAGGGTGTGATGTCTGTTTAGGACATTGGGTTTAATCTTCCGCAGTTTGGTTGCTCATTGCCTTTGGCTGAGAAGACCAAAGCAGGAGCCACATTTGATATGGGTAGGAGGGCTTGAAAACTGCGCCCAAAAGGAAAGTTTTGGCCTCCAGACTAACTTCCTACATGCTGCAGGACAGCCCTACTTGTTCCCCCCTGGTGCAGCTGCAGCTCAGGTGGATTTTCTGGCTTTCAGAAGACAGTTTATAGTGAAAAGCTAAAAGATTCCACGTCAGCCCCTTCAGCAATCCCACTCTGACTGTGGTGGTTACCTTTGGTGCCCTCATCTTGTTCTGCCAGGGCAGATGGGCAAAGCTTTTGCTTTTTCAGCCACCCTACGACAAAAATTCAGAGGCGCAGATTCTATGAAAACAGGATGTCAGTTTTTGTCAGAAAAGATCACAAGGGGTGTAAGGTTGTTTTTTTTTTTTTTTTTTTTAGTTTGTGTCAGAGCTGTGGGCACACGGAGAGGGGAGGACACGGAGGAGATGGCGGTGGCTGAGGCGCAGCTGTACGCAAAGGTGTCCAACAAGCCCCGGGGCAGGAGCACCTCTGCCCTCCTCGAGCCTCTCCTGGCCAAAGGATTCCCGGCTCATATCGCGTGAGTAGTGTGCTCAGCTGCCCTGGCACTGCCAGATTTAGTTAAGATATGAGGTGTTTGCCATAAAATCCCAATAGAGGCAAACTGTTTTTTTGATCAGGAGATTGTGCTGCTCCTTGGGGGGATGTCCCCATGCAGAGATCAGATTTGTCTTGCTCTGAATTTCATAGATGAAATCCTCATGTATAGTATGATATATGAAATATATTCTTGTATTATAAGTATTATATATTCCCATTTATATATTCTCATATACAGTGTGCATTGCCCATACAGCAAAACCAATCTGCTCAATATCCAATATTCATATTATAATTATGAGAATATTTATTCTCATATAATTATTCTCATATTCCCATTTATATATTCTCATATACAGTGTGCATTGCCCATACAGCAAAACCAATCTGCTCAATATCCAATATTTTAAAATATTGTGTAATTCTAAAATATTGTGTAAATCTAAATGGATAGTATGATATATATTCTCATATATATATTCTCATATATATCATGTGTTGTCCACACAGCAAAACCAATCCGCTCAATGTCCAATGTTTTAAAATAATGTGTAAATCTAAAATACTGTGTAAATCTAAATGGATAATATGTATTCTCATATATATATTCCCATATATGGTGTGTATTGCCCACACAGTAAAACCAATCTGATCAATATCCAATATTTTAAAATATTGTGTAAATCTAAAATACTGTGTAAATCTAAATGGATAGTATGATATATATTCTCATATATATATATATATATTCTCATATATGGTGTGTATTGCCCACACAGCAAAACCAATCTGCTCAATATCCAATATTTTAAAATATTGTGTAAATCTAAAATACTGTGTAAATCTAAATGGATAGTATGATATATATTCTCATATATATATTCCCATATGTGGTGTATATTGCCCACACAGCAAAACCAATCTGCTCAATACCCAATATTTTAAAACACTCTGTAAATCTAAAATACTGTGTAAATCTAATTCTATAGTATGATATATGATCTATATTCTCTCATTTATATATTCCCATATATGGTATGTATTGCCCACACAGCAAAACCAATCTGCTCAATATCCACTATTTTAAAATACTGTGTAAGTCTAAAATACTGTGTAAATCTAAATCTATAGTATGATACATGATATATATTCTCATATATATATATTCTCATATATAGTGTATATTGCCCACACAGCAAAATCAATCTGCTCAACACCCAATATTTTAAAATACTGTGTAAATCTAAAGGCACAAACCTTTCCACATCCTGAGTTTTGAGAGGCTTCTCAATGAGTTGAGAAGTTGACCATAGTTTGCTCTTGGGATACATCCTCTTTCATTTTTTTCTGCTTATTACTCTTATTATAAGGGAATTAAACATGGGTGTAATTTCTAGCCAAAGGTTTTTTCAGGCCTGGCAAAAATCTCCTGCTGGTTGGTGTCACTGAAAACTAGTTTTTTCTCCTTAAGATGCCCTCTAAGTATGTCAAGTATTTTTTCCTGTCTTGAATCAGGATCTTGTTCCAAAAATCATGTCCTGCCTAGAAAATGTAAAAACTAGTTTTTTCTCCTTAAGATGCCCCCTAAGTCTGTCAGTTTTTTTTCCTGTCTTGAATCAGGATCTTGTTCCAAAAATCATGTCCTGCCCAGAAAATGTCATAGTAAAGAATGAGGCTCTATTCTTGACAACTCCAATGGATGAGAGGGTAACTGGTGGCAGGTAAACAAGTTAATGCAAAAGAAAAATGCCAGTCATTCCTCCCTCAAATATCTCTCATGTTGGACAGGCAAGTTTTGTGGAGAATTTTCCAATTTCTGCATGGCAAGTAGGGACATTTTCATTCAAACTGTTCAAAAAAAAATCTTATTAATTAAATATCAAAGAACCCCTCATAAAAATATTTTAGAAAGAAGAGCAATATCTGTCTACCTTTTGAATCAAAATTAAGTGAGTGGAAGAGGTTCCAATTGTAAGCGCTGTGATGTTTTTTGGGAACAGCTGTGGTAGCAATCCGTATCAGACACGATGGGCACAGCTCACAAGGGAACTGTCAGTCCCTTGTTCCCAGTGATGCACAATGGAATTTTAGCTGAAAATATGCCTCATAATTTCTCTATAAATATTGTAACTTCGGTCAGCTCAAAGTAATGGCTACTTTTTGAATTTTTTTCTGTTTTATGTTATACTTTTTCAATCCCCTTCAAAACACTTTCTGCTGTTACTGAAATGGCTTTGTGCTTCCCAGTTCAAAATCAAGAAGCAGCAGCAGAAATACAGTGCAAATTGATGTAAGATAACAAAATATCAAAAAGAAATATTAAAAATTTTATTTCCTATTATTGACCTGAAGACCTTCAAAATTTTGGTTGTGTTTTTAAAAAAACTTTTAACTGTCTATGTTGTTCCTCAATTAAACCATTAATGAAAGTACTGAAAAGTTTCTTTTGAGATGTCCTGGCCTGAGAAATATGAGGTGGGATGGAAGTATTACAAAATTTTCCATCATGTAGAACCAACAGGCCACAGCATCATTTCCCCAATAAACAAAACTCAAATACGTGAGGGTCAAGTCTAGCCTAAGATCAAAAAATTTCCACAAGAAACTGTGCCAGCCATTTTTATTTTAGGGAAGAACCAGCTTATTCTCATTGTAGATGCATTTTTAACCTACTTTCATTACAGACTCTCAATGGTTTATTCTTCTCTCTAGCTGAGCGAAATTGGTACATGCAGAACTTATTCTTTGCATTATTTTTCAGTTTTGACTTCTCATCTTGGAAGTGTGGGCTTAGTCACACCCCTAGTGCAAAGGGCTCTATAAACCTTGCTGGAAATCATGCTACTGGAATTTCCTGCTGGAAATCACATCCTCATATGTGATGAGACAAAAGGTGGGACAGGTGTGGAGAGGAACATGAGAGAACAATGAGGTAGGACTGAGCAGGATGGCAGTTCATGGCCTCAGGTCTCACTTGTATTATTACATTTAATTTTGAAGGCCCCGTGGTAAAGAAAAGCTGAAACCAAGCTCGGTTTATAGCTTCAGAGCTGTTTGCACTGAACTTGTGCC